GGCACTACGCGGCGGAGGAGCCGGAGTGCCGGCGGCGGCGGGGAAAACCCGGCCATGCCCTGTCCGCTCACCCGCCCCGCAGCCGTGTGCCGGGACACTGGGATACCTACGGCTGACCCAGGCAATGGCAGTTCTTCTGACTGACCCGGTCGTACCCGCTTTGCAGCCATGTGAAAACGCCAGGTGCCAGGCGAGGTAGCGGTCGGTCACGTTGTGTGGGTGAAAGGCGGGTTCCCAGGTTTGCTACCCTTTACTCCTGCTGAGTAGCTCTTGCAGTCTCTGATCATCTCTCTGACCAGAGGAAATACCAGCAGCCTAAGGCACCGCTGTGGGTAAGGGTGAAGCAGAGTCCGGCCCCACATAAAGAGTCATGTTTTAAAAGAAGACAAAACAGTGTCAGAACCATGCGTTGGTAAAAGTGTCATTTCTGATCATCCCTGGACCAGTGTCTGAGATCACTGACATCAGTGCAAATTCAGTCATCCCGTGGTCTTCAGAACAGTTACTCTGAATATAAACTGATATACCTGGGGGCCCGATCCTCAGGGATACCGAATAGCTGCAATTCTCATTGAATTTCTAGGATGAAAAAAAAAGAGCAGGATTAAATAATTCACAAAGTAGCCCTGGTTTTGTTAATATCATTCTCTTTGCAAGAATAAAATTTGGATTTGATCATGCATAATGTACACAACATTTGTATTTGATCACATTTTTAGGAGAAAATGTCTGACTAAATCTGGAAAAACAATAATTATCGCTGTATGCTTCAAAAGTTGGCAAAATCTAAAAAATGTGTTTTGTGATGCAGTAAATTTTTTCTATGTGGTGTGAAATTATTTATAGTTGGGTCTCATGAGCAAGCTATACTGCTAAACTACATGTATAAAACTGAGATGTGGCTATAGTGCAGAAAGTGACAGGTAGTAAAACAGCAATTCGAAATGTAGTGTGAAGTACCTGGCAAAGTAGTTGAATGGTTATAGATTGTGAAATACCTTATGGGGGGGAGAGGGTCTTGTTCCACGGTCTCAGTTAATCTATTGTTCACACAAAACAAAGAGGGGTTCAGTGTATTTGGAATGAAAGACATGGCATCTGCAACTTTCCTTTTTGGAATGGCACATTGGTTTTCAAAGGCTATCTTTTTGAAGGATTCACTTTCCTTATAAAGGGAATGGCTAATTTTTATATCAAAGAAAAGTTTTTCTTTTGGATACTCTAGGAATTATTGGCTTTAATTTTTCATCATCATAGGCTAATGAATGTTTCCCATGTGCTAGTTGTGAAGTGATTACTCATACATTCATTATACAACATCCCTCTGCACAGCTGTTCCACTGCATTGTGAAACAATAATTTAGCAGGCAGATGAAAAGCAGTAGAAAGCCTGCTTGTAAAAACAGTTTGATATCCTATGATTTCTCACTTCAAAATGGTTTTATATTAATTATTCCAAATGAAAAAAGTACACCCTGGCAATATAAAATGTCCATCTCCAGACCCACAATCTTAAGAAAAAAAAAGAATAACACCAGATTGCTAGTAAAGCTTCTTTAATATAGTTGTGTTGTGCTCTGGCTTGTATGTTTAATGTGCAGTTAACTTGGAACAGTGCCATTTAAAAGTTATGACTGGTAAATATTGCATTATTTATAAGCACAAAGTATTATGTGTGATTCTAGCTGCTTTTACGTTAAAGGAGTTACAAATGGATAAATAGCATGTCAAATCATCCCAAACCTTTATAAAGGTGCCTGAGAATATAGATACTACAAAATAACATGTTAGTAAGTTACAATTCTCATCATTAAGCATTTTATGAGAATTGGAGGCCTTTTAGTTTGGATGACAGAAAATAAATTAAAATGCTGCATTAATAGTTTTCCATGTTATTAATTTAGCTTTCCGCAAAACAGCCACCAAAACCTTAATTTTGGTTTGACCACTTTCTGTTGATGTGTTTTCTCCCTTTGCTATTATCTTCCATGTGTTGCTTCTTTACTGCAGCAATTATTCTCCATAGTGTTCATTGTTGTCTCCCTGCCTCATGCTGCCAGGGAATATAATTAATGTTACTACTAATGGTTTTCTTGCCTGCAGAGTTTGGCCACTTGGGAGAATGAAAACAAGATCTATTGCAAACAAACCCTTATTGAGGGAGATGGTCCTAAAACATACTGGACTCGGGAATTATCTAACGATGAGCTGATTTTGGTAAGAACCTTTATCCTTTCTAGTGCATAAGTTACACTGACTTCTGTTGCTATTTTGTGCGACTGTTACTTTTTCAGTATGAAACATCCTGTTTATATTAAATGCAATTGAAAAACCACAATTCTCCTATCTGCTAAAGTACAGTTAGCACACAAGGTTTTTTAAATTGTTGCTCTCAAAGAACTTTGCCAAATATGTGTGAATTTTTATCCTTCATACTGTACTGTTGTATCTACCTCTGCACATGTAGTTGTCAAATTAACACAAGTGGGTAAATCCTATTGTGTAAATCTGAGACTCCAATAAGTTCAGCTGAGTAATTGCAGATTTTCTAGAGTCAAAATGAGATCAGAGAGTTTGACGTCATTTCTGCAGAATTGCCCACTTCAACTTACCAAAAAAGTACCCTTTTCCTTTTCCTTTTTCAGCACATGCGTAAAGTGTTACTTCTTACACACAGTCACATGGTGTGGGACAACTGGGAATATGGCATACTGTTAACACGATCTAATCTTATTTAGTTAAGCAGGAGCCTCTGCCATCTTCCCTCAGTATCTTCTCATCTCTAAATCCAGTTCAGAGTTGCCCCCTGTTTTCGGACTCCCCTGGACTCTTGTCTTCCTTATTTCTACACGTTCAATCCTGGCTATCCCTCTGCCCAATCCTCTGACACACTGCACACTGGAGCAGGAATACATCAGCAGTTCTGCTGCACTGGAACTGGTTCTCTGCATCCGAGCCACTGAGTCACATTCAGACTATTTATTTACACTGCTCTCATCTCCGTTAGTATTGAGTTCCCTTCTATGAATCTATGCAGCTGCAACTGTGATCAGTAACTGGTTAGAGGCATTGCCATTTTAACTTAGTTACAAATACAACAATTCAGTTTGTGGCCAGATCCTCTGAACTGCTTGGGTATGTCAGTTCACACTGGGTAAATCTAGCTGTCTATCCCATAATGCCTCAGCAGGGAGGACATGCTGTGGGGACTGGAGCAAGGTAGGAGATATTTTATTCAGAACACTTGTGTATTTGCCCTTCTGAATGTTCCCACACACTGTCCAGCGTTCTGCAGAGCACTTAGGAGGAGAAAAAAAAAGACCCAAAATGAACAATGTGAAAACAGAAAACTTAGAATGGTAATGTTGTTCCAGACATCAGGGAATAGTGCATCTACTTTCTAGAAATGGACTTGATGCTATTAATGAAATCACATTGGCTTCTGTAAATCTGAATGCTCAAATTCTTGGTAATTTTTCTGCTAAGCTGCAGTCATCTTTATTTTACCCATATAGTTTAGGAGGCATGGCACCTTAACCCATGTCATGCCTTGCGCATGTGTGTATGTGTACACACACACTCTCTCTCACACACACACACACACACACACACACACACACACACACACACAAAGATAAATATACTATTTTATACATTATATACATGTAATCGCCCTGAGCAACATTTCTTCTCCAGCCTCGTATTTATGACTGGCTCACAAGGCATTTTTGGAGTTTGTCATTTAAGCAACAAGCTAATGAGGTGGCTGCTGAACCAAGACCAACTTCTGCAAGCCAAGCAGGAGAGCCAATCATAATACCATTGCCTTCTGCACTGCTGACATAAACTGACTTGGCTGGGGAAAGAGAGGAAGGTTTAGTTGGGAAATACAATAGAGATTCATAAATTGTAATGTCAGAAGGGCCCCCTGTGATGATCTTGTCTTGCTTCTGGATAAAACAGGTTGTACGGCTTCTCTGAATTAATTCCTGTTTGAATCAGGGTATATCCTAGAGCTCCCTCCCCAACCCCTTAATTTAAGCCTTTTCAGATATAGATACCTATCCACAATCTTGTTCAGTTCCAGTAGTTAGTTACTTTCACAGTTGATTATTTACCTCTTATGTCTGGTCTGAAAGTATCTAGCTTCAACTTCTAGACATTATATCTTCTTCCATCTTGTGTCTGCTGTGCCAAGGAACTGCCTCTGATCAAATTTCTGTTTCCCATGTAGATACTTACAGGCACCTATCCCTTCCAATCTCTGACCACTTTTCTAAGTTAAACTGAGAAAGCGTCTTGTGTCTCCCCCTGTAAGGCAGGTTTTTCTGTCCTTTAACCATTTTCATTGCTCTTCTCTGAACCATGTTCAGTTTATAAACATCCTTCTTGAATTGTGGTCACCATAACTGGACACAGTATTCCACTAGCAGTCACGCTGTTGCCAAAAATAGAGGGCTATGACCTCCTTCATCCTATTTGAGATTTCCCTGTCTGTGCATCCAAAGATCACATTAGCCCTTTTGGCCACAGCATCTCTGGAAGCTCATGTTCTGCTGATTATTCACCACGAACTCTACTTCTTGTAAGAGTCACTGCTTCCCAGGATAGGATCTCCTTTCCTGTAAGTATGATCTATGGTTTTTGTTCTCAGATATCTGGATATACACTTGGCTGCATTAAAATGCACGTTTACTTCTATTCAGCATACAAAAGTGATCCTGATCACTCTGTATCAGTGACCTGTCCTCATTATTTAGCATTTAAAAGGTAGTATTCTTTCCCATCTCTGAAACACAGTAATCTTTGCTTTGTTTCACTAGCAGGACACAGTGTACTCTCCCAGTGGATAAAACATTTCAAGTCTTGGAGGGGGTTTGAAAACTCAGTTCCTGTTGCATTTAATGGGGCTGAACATCCAAATCCCCAAACAGTGAAGCTGAGATTTTCAGAGTTTTTTACCACCGTGGTGACTGAGGGTTTTTTTGCATTGCTGAGATGTAGTGCTGGGTGGAAGTAGGGTTTCTGAACCCTCCTGAGAAGCTAGGCTGGTCAACGTTTGAGGCACATACAAAAATCTTGCTTAGTAGGGCTTTAAAAGTTTAAACAAAGTACTTCAGAAGTTAATATGTGAGGCATGAACATTCAGCATCATCTTCCTTTGTCTGAGCAGTAGTGTAACTGAGAGGGTGACCTGTTTCTGCAGTTCCCAGTTTATGCTTTGCTTTAGCAGTAATGTCTGGGAGCTAAATCTACTCTGATGCACTTCTCCACACGCACTGGTTTAATTAATTCAGAATTTGTCAAGCCTCTCCTCTTCTTCCTCCCACCATCCTTCCCTATGCTCCAGCTCCAGACAAATTTGCTCCAGCTCCATCCTAAGGGTCCATCCTGCAATTTTGGGTCTCTGCAGCTTGGGATAGCTTTTCCTGGAGCAAAAACCTGTGCTGAGATAGAATTTAAGAGGGCTGCAGCACTGGTTCCAGTTCCTATGCTCTTTATCACTGCTTCTCTACTCAAGACCAACTCTCTGAAAATCCTAACTTCATTTCAGCTGCTGCTACGTGTCTGCTGAAGTCAGATGAAGCCTTATGGTCAAAATAGAAGTAAACTGAGGGAAGAATCTAAACTTTGCTAGGTTGGGGTCTGGATGGGGAAGAGGATTGAGGCAGTAGGCAGGGGGTAAGGAATGGGTTTTGCTCTGCTGGTTCTGGCTGCGTAAATCTTGGAACCTTGCCATGTAATTTCGATGTAATAGGCTGCAGGATACGAAGGGTCTATTTAGATTATGACACTTCCCTAGTGGAAGAATAGATTTTCTTTCCAACACAGTATGTTAAATAAAACATATTTATTATTGCCACATTTTAAAAATAAATAATATAGGATTGTCATGACTACAGTTGAGCTAAAATGGAAACCATATTTTTAGGTAATGAAATTATTTATCTTATTGCATCCCAAGAGAAGTAGTTCATTATATTCTCCAGAGGTGCTATCTTTAGAGCATTACCCCTGGGTCATATGATGGCCTCTGTCACATAGACACCAGGTATGAACTCATTACTCAGCTGGCTAAGACAATTTCTTTGTCTCCAGGTATAACCATTAGCCTGTCTCCACCCTTCTCCTGATGACAGCTGCATTATTCCACACGACTGAATTTACTGTCCTCTCCATTCTTATAGTGCAAACATTATTAATGTTTATTTTTGAATGAGTAGAAAAAGAAAAGGCTCTTGCAGCATTAGGTTATTCCTCCCTTAGCTGGAAGAGAACTAATCATGTCACCAGGGTGTCAGGTTCTTTCTGGTTTGTCATTGTTCACAAAAATTGCCCTTTGATTGCAGGCTGGATGCTCAGAGCTTCAGGGAATTCTGGGCCCAAATCCCCCTCCTGTGTGCCACTTTGCCCTTGAAAAGGTACAGCTACATTGTCTGAAGCCCAAACCTTTTTGCTATATCCACACAAGTAGTCCCACTGATTGAATTCAATAGGTCAAGCTATATGCTTCGACTCCTGAGAAGAAATCCTCCACTGGGGGACTGGCCTTCTCCCACATGATGAGAGAAGGGATTCTGCTGACTGTTAGTTTCTACCTTTTTCTTCTAAGGAGGCTGTTTCATAGGTGTGGGTTGGGAATGGGCAGCTCCACACTGGACTGAAATTTACCCTGGGGCGTCAGCTTAACCAGTAATGATTCCCAGCTTCAAAGTTCCTCTCAAGTTTTTCTCCTTGCTCCCTTGCAGACATTGCTTGGGAAAAGAGATGCAATCTGAAGCAGAAGTAGCTTTTTCACAGAGCTCTCTTTGGGGAGAAGACTGTTGTTTAAAAAAGGACTATAAATACCAGCTGCATCAAGAGGCAATATGGTTAAGCTGAAACCAAGCTGGTAGGAAGCAGAGAGTTAGGACAAATCTCCACAAAGGTGTCTTTAGCCCCTTGCCACAGGTTTTTATTGTGGGAATGACTAGCCCAGTGCCTGAGACTGCTCCCATGACCTGAGCTGGCAGGATTTGTCCCTTGCTGTGGTAGAACTGGCTCTCCAGTCCTCTTAGAGAAGAGACGGCTTTGAGTTAACTTGCATTAAAGCTTGATACATTCTACTACCAAGATTTCTTCTTGCCTACTCCGTTTCTAACACAGATGATATTTGCTCTCTGTTTACTCTGTTGCTCCTTTTCTTTTGACAGCCCAGGGAACATACTTTTGGTAGA